TTTATGGTGAGGCAGGTAATAATCTCTCTCCATTCTATCAACTGCAGTTAGCAGGTGGAGTTACTTCTGCTGGACAGTGTAATATTAAATTTGTTAAAAAATTTGTTGAAGACAAAGGGTTTAGTGTTAAATATGGAGATACCGATTCTTTATATCTTATATGTCCAGAGGAGTGTTTCTAGTAATGTGATCGAAAATATAAATTAGATCAACTTTCACAAGAAAAGTACTGAGAGGAAATGGTAAAAATATCTATAGAAGTGATGGCAAATCTCCGTAATAAAGTAAATACTGAGCTTGAAAAAGATAATGGAACGCCTTACCTTAATATAGCATATGAGGAGGTCTTATTTTCTGTGATATTTACAGAAAAGAAAAAATACTATAGTCTAAAGCATAAAAATAAACCAAACTTTAATCCAGGTAAGCTTTTTATTAGAGGGGTGGATATTGTGAAAAGAGGTCAATCTAAGCTTTTCCGTGATGTAGGTAAGGAAATTATGAATAGAACTTTGAAAATCGGTAATGAGGAGACAATACACCAGATTGTTGAAAAAGTTCTTTAAAAAAATGTGGAAAAACTTTTCAAGTTAGATTATGATGAATTTATTCAAACATGTATATGGAGGTCTAAAAAGGAAGATAAGCAGAGAAATATTTTTGTAGAATAGTTTGTTTCACGAATGGAGGCTAAGTATTCTCGTGAAGTATTGGAAAATCAATAGCTTATAAAGAAGGGTTTACCCGCTAACGAATATCTATATAAAGTTCTCAAACCTGGTGAACGATTTAGTTATATTGTTATAGTACCTGAAGAGATTTATGATAATTGTGGGAAAAAAATACCACAACAAAAAGGAGACTGTATGGAATACCCAGATGTGGTAAAAAAGTTTAACAAGAAAATAAATATTGATTATTATATCGAAAGTCTATTTGGTCTCTGTGCCCGTTTTATAAATTATGATAATAAATACCAACCATCACCTGAATTCCTCTCAAAAGTCTTGGATCGCAAAAAGAAATCCAAGGAGAAAAAATTAAAAATTGCTAAGGATTTATTGCAAAGCAATGACTCTCCGAGTCTAGATGAAAATGAAATAGCAAAAATTAAAGATGAAGAGTCACAGAAGTCAGCTAAAAAATGGCTCAAAAATTATATTAAGAACTTATGTGATGCTCTGAAAAAAGAGGAAGCCATTATCTGCTATTTATAGAAAGATGCTACTACTCACGCAGAAAAAATATGTTCTGATATTAGCAAAGCTGGCATGATCAATAATGATTTCCTTAATGTATTAGATAAAATTGCAGATTCTATTCGTTTAAAGTTATCAGATCTACTTTCAAAATTGTCTAAGCTCAATGTAGAATATAGAAATAGGTTGTACGAATTAATTATACAGGCACAAAAATACAAGACTGATATTACAATTTTGGAAGAATATATATTTCGATATAATTTGGAATCAGAGCGTAAAGTATTAATAAATTTCCGGAATTTATAGTATAAGGTAACTAGTCTTGAGATTGCACGTTTTCAAGCATTATCTATTATGCAAAACAGTAAAAAAGATGACCTATCCAAATCAGATATTGACGAGATTGTTGACCTATATTGTTAAGTGATCTTGATTAGAATTGCCAGACTTCACTAAGATACATATACAATATTAATTATATTTTTTTATTTATAAATAATATCCAAGTTCAATTATAATACCGGGCTATTCAACCCACATATCCCGGAATCGATCACTTTTCCTCTCCAATTCTATGTGCGTCTTAATATTACGAACCACATAACTGCAATAATCAACAAGGTAAGAAAAATATATGCTGATAGAGGTGACATTAAAGTACTTGCTACAACAGGGACTACTCCTATTCCTTCTATTGGAATCTGGGAATTCGATTTAATCAATGAGGATATGTGTGCTTTAGTACCAGCTTCGCTATTATTTTCCGGTAGTTATATAGTACTTTGTGATATTTTTATTATATAGTTTTTATATTCTGCTTTTTTACATTAAATGTATTAGAAAAAAATCCGAAAAATCATATGACTTCGATCATATTATAAAAATGCAAGATTATAATGAGATTGATACCAAAGCTTTTACCTATTCCAAAAGACGTGAAGAGGAATGCTTGGCTAAAGCTAGATCTAACGCAGATATTTATTTGTGGTCATGCAAAAATTAATATCAATGGGAAGCATCCTATAAAGATATGAAGCAGAATTATGGATGGTATAATAGTTGTCCCTATATATTTGAACGAAGATATCGATATATATTCGAAGAATCATTATATAAGAAATTTCCACCTCGAAAACCTAAATTTTTAAAAGGTTTACAGCTTGATGGATATAATGAGGAATTATATTTGGCCTTTGAATACAGTAGCAATTAATATTTTCAAATCGTTCTTTTTTTCCATCCACAAGGACAAATTAATTTAGATGCACAAATTCAACGTAATTGGAAAAAGAGAGCACTCTGTTTTAAGGAGGGTATAATTCTTATCACAATCCCTTATTGCGTTATTGATTTGCCAACTTTCATCAAATGTACCTTGAATGCATTCGGTTATCTTCCAAGACCCACCTGGGAGGTAGTATAGGTTCCTCCTTAATATGTATTAATTTTTCTCTTACAAAAGGACGTTGAGGATCTGTTTCATCTAAATAATATAATACAGACATTGGTGGATTTTTTCCAACAACAATTTTTTGAATTTTATGAAGGCTTGGACTCCATACTGGATCTGTTATTCTTCGTTATTCAAAGGGATCATTTTCCTATTCACCAGGAGCAAGTAAAAATCGAACTATAGTTCCCTTTGGTAACTGTGGCTCATCATCACCTACTGGATGATAATACTTTGTTGATAGCTTGGAATATACCTGTTCAAGCTTTATAGCACTATTAGGGCTCATTCCAATTAATCGGATTGGAGTATCATTTATATTATCAACAATTTTCCGTGCAAATCGCTTATACTCTCTATAGCGTTCACCAGTAGGTAAGAGAAATTCTATCGCATACTGATTTTTAAAAACTCTTAATTCGAATAATTCCGCATAATGGTCGACTATAGCCAAGCTTGTATGTCTGAAACATGCTATAATTCTTTGAATTTTAACACCATGTTCATACATTAATAAAGTTACGTATCCCATAAACTCAGTGCCCTTATCACATTGTAGTTTTTGAGGCTAGTTGAGGGAATTATCGGGATTATCATATATACTCTTAAATGCTTCTGCAACTTCGTCACTACTTTTTGATGTTAAAAAACAAAATCTTTATATCTACTTGCACAATCTATAACTAATAATACATAATAAAATATTTCACTATTTTCATTCAATAAATTTATATACTCATCTTCATCATAAAGTATCTCAATTAAATCACACTAATGAACACAATTAGGTTTTGAGATTCTAGAATAACTAGCATAAGGTGCATTCTTTGGTAAGGGACGATAAATTTGATACATTTTTTGAGACTCAAGCCATTTTTTTATCGTAGCAAGTGGAAAGTTATATCTAGTCTTCCTACAAGCATCTTGCAATCTTTTAGCATTTTGGTAATAACCTTCAGGTCGGTAATATAATTTCTGCAAGACAATCTCCCTATCCAAATCATGAGCTCTCTGAGGATTAATATTTATTATAGGCTATTCTATTATTCGGTTTTAGCAATCTCCTTATTCAAATTATAGGCCTTCTGTGGGTCAATATAAATTATCGATTTCTCCATTTCTTTGGTTTATTATAGTAATAAAAACAATGGATGAGTTACAACAAACCAACCAAGAACTCTATGAGGTGGTATCGCAATTAGCTAAATCAAATAGGAATTTTGAACAACATCTATATACCTTAAAAAGAGTTATTGGTATACGAGAAAAAAGGATATGATATCTTGAAGAAGAGTTAAATAATGCTATCGAACTATCTACAAAAGATAAAAAAAAATTGTTAGAAGAAATCTCAAAACTAAAAAAAATCGTTCATCAGCTCAAAGAAGAAAATAAAAAGAAAGACAAGGAAATCTCAAATAAGAATAAGTTAATATTAGAATTTGATGAACGTGAAACAAAATTAAAAACCAGAATACGAGAAATATCAAAATTAGCTGGAAATACACCTAAAGCACAAGATTATACAACTAGATTAGTAGATGAGAATGAACATCTTAAATGAGAAATAAATACGGTAAGAACAAATCAAATAAATAGGATTAGTAAAATAAATCAGCCAAAAATTCGTATTACAGAACTGCTTTGTCAAAATTTTGCATTAACATTATTAAGATATCGAGATAGATTAGAACTTATAAATACATGAGAGGTATTAGAAAATGCACAAGCATGGAATTATAATGAAGATGAATCTAATTCTGATGAAAATTCTCAAGATAATTATACTTTTGATTTAGATATAGGCACAATAGCTGAATTGGCCGATGCTATAGACAGATCCTTAAATGATACAACAATATGTAAAACTGTTTTAACAAATCAAATTAAAAGATCAACAAGATCAATTCGATGTAAATATGCTAACCTGCAACAAGATCTGGTAAACGAACAGTGGAATCGTAATATATACAAGTAGGAGCGGGATCAGACATTGCAGCAATTAAAAAATGAACAGGTATTTAATGAATATTGGCGAGACCGAATATATGATAGATATATAAAATGGAAGAATAAAACTAAGGATGAGCGTATACAAATACAGAACTGTCAAAATGAAAGAGCTCTTGATGAATTTTGGCAAGATTAACTATATGATCGGTATAAAAAATAGAAGAATAAGACTAAAGATGAACACCAAATAATTCTGAATCAAAATCAAAATATTTTAAATTTACAGCAACAAAATTTTGCATTAGTAAATAATCAGCAAAATTAACTGATAGCATTACCTGTAGGATTTGTATAACCAGAATTTTATAGCAGTGATGAAGATCATGAAGATTTCGTAAATAGGTTCATATCATATATTACCTTGGCTGAAGTAAATAATAATGCAAATATTCTCATTATATTAGATCGATCCTTAAAAGGAGAAGTGAGAGAATGGTATCATAAAGAATTTAACAATAAAAATTGGAAGTTAGAAAATATACTTGATAACTTTGATATAGGTGCAACAATAGCACATATTCGTGGTACTAATGCAGGAGGTATAACAGGTGCAGTCGCTTTTTTTCCAAATGTTCCACTTGGACTTACAGGTACGCAAATTATCCCTGCTCGAAATGTTGCTAAAGATTGGACAATAGTGGGAGGATGCCCAACTAATGCAGTACCGGTTGCACCAAATGCTGGAGGAGGTGTTCCTATTATTCTAGCAGGAATGTGATCTGGACAAAGGCTTTGGTGGATAAA